TGAGCCTCTCTTTGCTAAACAAGGAAAACACATTTAACAGTCATTGCCAGCATTGATGCATGCAGATGATATAGTATTATTAGCCGACAACAAGGAAGATCTGCAGGGATTGATTGACATCTATGGTAATGAGAGAGATAGGTTAAATTTGAAGTTCAACAGGAAAATGCGGCAATCATAATGTTTAATGATAACAAAGAGTGAGCATAAGATTCAGGAAGCCACGCTAGAAGTAGTGGATAAATACAAATACTTGGGCGTATGGATAAATAACGGAGTTGTTGTATCTAATGGAGCACAAAAATTACGTAATGACTAAGGGCACCAGGAATGCAGCTGTAATAAAAAATAGGGCACCGTGGCACTACAATAACTATGACGTTGTGAGAGGTATTTGCAAAGGTGTCATGGTCCCGTGTTTGACGTTCAGCTATGCGGTCTTGTGCACAGATTTAGAAGTTCAAGCAAGATTGGAAATGAAACAACGTGGTTTAGATGGACTTACTTTGAGAACACACGGAATTGCGCAAATAAGGGGTTACAGGGAGACATGGGATGGACATCGTTTGAGTGCAGGGAAGCTAGCAGCAAGATAGAATTCGAGAAGCGATTGAGAAAAATGGGAGAGGAGCGTTGGAGTAGGAAAGCTTCAGTTACTTGTACATGAAGAATGTCGATACTAAATGGAGGAGACAAGCTCAAAATATGTCAAGAAAGTATTTAGATAACAGCAGAATACCAAGCCCAAAAGAAACATCGTTTAAGAAGAAGGTACAGGAAACAGAGAGGGGCATGTGGAAGATAGAAATGCTTACGAAATTATCACTGGCGACCTACCGAACTTTTAAACGTGAAATTGCAGAGAAAAAGATCTACCATGATTCTCGAGGTAGTTCTCTGCCCTTCGAGGCTAGAACGGGAGTATTGCAAACCAAGACGTACCGAGAAAATTACGAAGGCACAGACACGGTATGTAGTGGGTGTGGAGAGGAGGAGGAAACGGCTGAACATTTGATATTGTTATGTAAAGGGCTCCACCCTATAGTCGAAAGTAATGGCGCTCAATTTTTCAAAGCATTGGGGTTTAGGCACAGTGAAGGCAAAATAGACTTCAAACTGGTAGAAATAACCAAGAGGAGGCTAACTGATTAGTGGCTACAATCAAGGCGCGAGTGAAATTCAATCCATAAGCGCACAGTTATAGTTCTTAGGTTTATGGCTAGGTGGCGTGATTCACCGCCCAATCTAAAAGGCAAAGCCGGATCCATCCGTCCGTTCATCCGTCCTTCCGTCCATCCATCCATCCATCCATCCATCCATCCATCCATCCATCCATCCATCCATCCATCCATCCATCCATCCATCCATCCATCCATCCATCCATCCAACGGGATGCTGGCGCTGAATGGCCACACGTATTAGAAAGCTCGCAAATTCTTGTTTCCATGTGAGTTAATTTGCAGTCGTGCTTCTTGATGGCTTCACAGATGCAGGGAGAATCAAAAATACCACGAACATACCGGCGCGCTGCTTTCGTTCGATACATGCGTCCGAGTTTTATGGCATCGTGTTTTTATTTTAATTTTCTAGCTTTGAAATCCCATTATTTGCATGCTTCAGGATATTATACTGCTTTGTACCAATCTGCATATCTGCCACAAAAACAAAAAAAATCTGTCTTTTTTTATTTCTCATTACTTAAAAGAACAACTCGCCGGGCCTCTTATGGATTTACCTGACATGAATTGTTTGTTTGTTTGTAGCCTAGAATGTACGGCGCATACCAACTTTGAGCGATTGGCCAAGACAGCTTATAGTTTACTATAGGCGGTAACTGCATTATTTCTTACAATGAAATAAAAGAAAAAGGATGTATAAGGAAGGCATTAAAAAGAAACATATTCAGAGAGGGAGAAAAAATAAAATAATCACTAATATAATAACTCTACCTTGATTTTAGGAGCTGACCAGTTAGCTGAGTGTGCCAAACCCAATTATTAGGGATGTATGTCTTATATTTATTGATGTTCCGCAAATCACTTTTCAACTCCTCTTTTTTGAGTATCTGTAAAGTGGGCCTTATGTTGAAATAAGTTTAGTGTCTGGAATTAAATTGCCCTCCGCATCAATTGCATCTCTGGTGATTTCCCGAAACGAAGGCACCAATACTTAGAAAAGTTTCTGTGGTTCAACTCAAACCTAGCTTAGCAAAAAGAACAGCTAAAAGTTTTTCCGAATAACTGCGTAGTTATGACATAAGAAAAATTAATGTTCAATAGTTCCCACCGCGCGAGAGAAGATGCCAGCCTCTGCTGCGGCTGTGGTCACTCTTGCCGATCAGCGGCGTCAGCTGCGCTGCCGGTGGGAGGCGGCACTCACAAGCGACGAGCCGGCCGACCAGCTTCGGGCCATCAGGCAAGCTGCAGATGCCACCCTGGTGCAAGGACTTCGACTTTTTATGTTTAACAGCCACTTGTATCGCATAAGCTTCAGTGGGGAAAAAGCTTGTACAAGAGTGCAGAATGACAGCTTCCGAAAAGAATGGGCCGACGGCTGCGTATGAGACAGATGTGTTGGAATTTGAAACATCCCTAAAAAACTCAGGACATGTGTATTTCTGTTGTGGTTCTAGGAAGTATGTCTCAATATGTGCAGTTAGTGCGTGCTTTGTAACCTCCAAGAAAGACACGTCGCAATCCATCGCCTGCCACTGCTGTAGTGGCAGGAACACTGCGGGAGCCGTCAAACGGTGTTCAAGTGACA